GCGTAAACCAAGTCTTAGAGCAATATTTAAGGTGTACTATCAACTACCAACAAGATGATTGGACAACCCTTTTGCCATTGGCAGAGTTTGCTTATAATAATACGGTACATTCTTCCATGCAACAAACACCTTTCTTTGCCAATTATGGCTATCATCCACGACTTGATACTTTTGATTTTTCAAAAGTTGATAATCCTGCAGGAGAAGATATGGCAAATCGGTTGTCAGAGTTACATGCAATAATGAAGATGCAATTGAAGGAAGCTCAAGAACGACAAAAGATAAATGCAGATCTATATCGTAAGGAGCAACCACAAGTCAATGTGGGTGATAAGGTATGGCTACTTCGTCGCAATATCAAGACTACTCGACCTTGTGACAAGTTGGACTATCGTAGGCTTGGCCCCTTTTCTGTTTCTGAACAGATCAACCCAGTTGCATATCGGTTACATCTACCGGAGTCAATGAAGATCCATCCTGTATTCCACGTGTCTCTTCTTGAACCATATAAGACAGTGGATATACAAGAAAGAAGACAAATGCCACCGCCTCCTACAGAAGTAGATAATAATGAAGAATTTGAGGTGGAAGAGATATTAGACTCAAGGCGGCGCCAAAATAAGCTGGAATATCTTGTTCATTGGCACGGATATGATATTAGTGAACGCACATGGGTGCCATCCAGGAATCTAACAAATGCATCAGCTAAAGTCAAAGTTTTTCATCAACGACATCCATTAAAACCAAGATGAAAATCTCTCTTATAAAAGAGACAAGATTGAGACAAGATAACATTCAATTTCCTATCCTTGTTTGTAACTTCTTTGCATTTGTGACGCTAATTAGATGGAGAGCCAACAACCAGTGGATTCAACTCAAGAACCTTCGTTTGCTGACCTGCCGGATGAGACATTACGATTGTCACAACCTTCAAGACAACGCAATCGAGATGAAGATCTTCAAAAACAACATGTTCTTCCTCGAATAGATGGTGAGATACAACGCGTTTGATATCACGATTTGGGAAGGGACTCCCGATGTTTGGTGATTTTGCTAGAGGTAGGAACAACTCCTGATGGTGTTCCGAATATTCTATTCGAAGGAAGTTACGAAGGCCTCAACAATGATCAAATAACTGGGTGGTCTTCCCGCCCTGGTATGGGACACTACCGATGGTTGAGAGGCCCTATCAATCATCTTCGAAGAGAACAGAGATCAGAGTATGTGGCGAATACAATTCGTCGCATCATAGATTTCTTCAACATATGATGACCGCTCCTCGTGGAACTCGTCTCTAGAAGGGGGGGTAATGTCACGGCCATAATCATGTAAGCTAATAATTACATATAGAAATAGGTAGAAGTAAGTAAAAGTAGATAAAAGTAAGTTAATTGTATAATATTTAATATAGAAGCTTTCTAGAAACTTCCTAGACGCTACTTTGACTTCATAGGTGTCTTTAATTGACTTTTTGGATTAGAAACGTGGTCAACAAGTTGGCCATGTGCCACACATGTTGTTAGCTTGAAGATCAAGCTAACTATGTGGCCCACACGTAGAAAAACTTGCCTTGTAAGTCAAGGCATGTGTCCTACAAAGTCAACACATATTGGAGGTCCTATAGAACGTTGCCACGTAGCCCCTAGTTAGATAGTATATATAGAGACAAGAGTGAAGGCTTCTTCACTCTTGTCAACTCCTTTCTTGCTCCTAGTCCAGGTTCAAGAGTCTTTAGTTTCTTGTCTTATGGCAATAGCCATTCCAGTTTTTTTTTAATATATATACTTGTTTATATTTTGACTTATTATATCGAGATAGCCTTTTTGTGTATATTTTCCCTCATCGAGTCTTTGTCCTTGACAGTCTTCTACCAATGTTGATGTTAATACCATCTCGATTGACTCATGGCACTTCAGTCCTTAGAAAATAGCTTGGAAAGTAACAATTTTTGATATCCAATTGTAATACAAAATCCTAGAATGAACAATATACAAATTAATAACAATGGACAAAATATAAAAATAAAATAAAAATAAAAATAAAAAAAATGCAAGATTATAGTTTGTACAGATCATATTTAGACTACAATCTAGAAATATTATAAACTCAACATAATGTTATAAATGCAAGTCAACTAATTAAATCAGGATGTAATCCAATTACATAATGCACAAGGTGAAAAACATGTGATCACAACTCAAGGAAAAAAATAGTATTATACTCCAATTACAAGATAAACTTGCAACTCTCAAATATAATTATACTACTACAAAAGAAAAATTATAGAAATTATAAGATAAACTTCAAGTGATAAGATAAAAATAGGAGATTCTTAAAGTCCTAAAAAATATTTTTTAAACTAAAACTAAAGAATTATAAGCAATCAATATGATGCTATAAGAAATGCAAGCAGCATTTGAATTTGCAATCAATGAACTATATACACTATTCAAAGATGTGGCACATAGAATAAATATTACAAGCAAGTAGAATCCACTTACATTGATGGAATAAGCTTGAAACAAATCCATCTCAATTTTGATTGTCATGGCATTAATAAAAGAATAGTCTCTATCCAATATACCATCAGCCATTCAAACAACCCTACATCTTGAGCAAACTCATGAAGGTGCAAATTCACCTTGTGTGTCTCTCAAATAAATGTTCAACTGCAAAGACTGTTTGCAAGTCATAGGTAGTGCATCTACCCACAATTTTTAAACAAGTAGTAATTTAAAAAATTAATTTAAGTAATTTTTTTTATATGTAATAAAAATAAACGATAAAAAAATATAAATAATATTTATCTTTGAGTAATTTAAGTTGTGATTTAAGTATAAATGTATCATAAGACAAACCTTTGTATTATATTTTATAAAAAAATAAAGTTTCAATCTATATGAATTGTACTATTACATAAAAGTACAAGAGCATGTAAAATGTTAAACACAATAAGTATAAGTTTTAGTCAAAGGTGGCAATAAATGCTTTTAACATACATAAAAAAAATTCTATAAGTGTTCTTAAAACAATGATGTTTTGAAAAATGATAGAATAGAAAAAACCAGATCTTTTGTATACAAAGATCTTTAAATATATTGCATAAGCAAATATTCCAAATTTTATGAGAATCACATTTGATACAAAGAGCATCAAGTGTATACTTCTTAGACATTACAAAGAAATTAAGACTTAAGAGATGATGTATTTGTGAACCAAAAGAATTATCAAAAGTTTAAAAATTAAACCATTAGAATATAAGAGTATTTTTGAAAACTTAAAAATATGTCCAAATATAATTAATTATGTATTTATAAATACATCTTCTAAATCCTTTAAATTAAATTAATATAAAACCACTAATAATAAATTAAATAAAAATTTTAAAAATAATATATAATAGAAAGAAATAAAACCTAATCTAGTATATATTAGCAAGAAATACATCATGAAATAACCAAAATATATAAAAGGTATTTATATTTTAAGAAAGAATAGCTACAATACTATATATATATATATATATATATATATATATATATATATCTACATATCATATAATTTACAAGGTATACAAAGAAAATTTTAATGTAATAATTTTTTCTAATTTAATGATATTATATAAGATTATGCATCCTATAGATACAAATATAATTTATAAGGTATACGAAGAAAATTTTAATGTAATAATTTTTTCTAATTTAATGATATTATATAAGATTACGCATCCTATAGATACAAACAAGGAAAAGAAGGCTATAGAAGGAGAATACAAATTCTGTGTGTTTAATCAAATTTGAGAATGTCTTCATGAATGAAAAAATTATGATTGCAAGTAGAAATTTTATACAAAAATATTTATACTGGATTAAATTTGAGATTCAAGTTAAGACTGATTGCCAAGAAATATTTATAAGTTGAAAGTATAAATTCTAATGTAATGTTTGTATCCAATGCCAAATTAATTGTTGTTAAAACTATTTTAAAAAATGGAGCAATATAATATTTCATAATTAATCCAAAAAAATGTGAATATGTAATATCAAGTTATAACTAAATATAAGATACTAATGCATTAATATTTTTTGTATAAAAATTATTTAAATAGTTTATTTTAAATTAATAAAGCTTTCAAATAGAAAATTTTCTTAGACTAAATGTAAAATAAGAATTGTTTTGTACAACACAATGATAAGCTTACTCATTCATATGTATATATATATATATATATATATAATTGTAGAAACAAAAACCAACCTTACATATGTATTGAGTGATATAAGTTAATACATGACCATAGCTAACATAACACACAAGACAATAATAAAGAGAATTACAACATATTCAAAAAATATATTAGACCTTGAATTATAATTTGGTAATAACAAAATTAAATTAGAATGCAAGTATGATGTTGATTAGACTATTGATGCATATGATTGAAGACATGCCATTTGTGATGGATATTCTTTGTTGACACAGAAATTATTCAATGGCATTGTAAGAAATAATTAATAATTGCATATTTGATAATAGATGTGAAATGGACAACAGTAAGCTTGTGTATAAAAGAAATAATATAAATATGTCAACTGTTCCAAGATTTTAGATTTGCATCAATGGATACAAATGAAATGATATATAATAACCAATAATACATAAGTTTACAGTAGTAGTTGTCCTTCTCTCATATACTCAGTTTTTCAATATTATTTTTGATTCATTGTTAATCAATTACATCTTCATGTAACGAGTTTCAAATGCTCAGAAGAAGTGAACAGAACATCATGAACGAGATTAATATCCTGCAGAGAATCAAGTAAACTACAGGATAAAGTATTTATAACATTGTCTGCTGAGATTGACAAAATTATATTCTTTAAGTTAATTTGTTCACAGAGTTGTGCTGAATGGTGTTCCACATCTTCCCAGTGGAATTGTGAACATTCTAATCCAACTGCACATTGGGTATCGTCAATATAAGCGAGAACAAATGTGTGTAGGTTTGAAGAAGGGATTGTTTGCTTATCTCTTTTCAAAACGTAGAGGTTTGACAAAACTGCTAGTGAGTAATTCTGCTAGTGAATATGTCACGCGAGTGGTTGTTGAGATAAAGTCGCTGGTCGGAATGAGCACTTTACTACTTCGTTCACAAATCTTCCTTCCCACTCGTAAAACAATCCTACGTCCAATTGCATTGGTTTGGGTCTATCTACTCTTAGAGATCTTACCCAGACGGATCTGAGCAGATTTCTCCCATTGTCCTTCAAGAAGAACAAATTATGATACGTGGTCAATTCTCATCTCGCCCTTGATCGAAACAAGGGACGCATACAACTAGGACAAGATTTTAAATTCCTACCTCCCTTCTAAATGCACATAATCTGCTCTATTTAATTCAACTTCCTAAACGCAGATAACACAGTCGTCTCCACTAACACTCTAACCTGGAATGAAGTCTACTGAATAAAAAGCTGAGTCAATGAGACTAGTAGTTTAATAACAATAATAACACCTAATAACATCTAATTACTTCTGAAGTCGACATCTAAGCATATGCATCGAGTAGGTTGAGTTTTTGTTCGGGGGTCTGAAAGGAAGGAAAGAGTGTATGTCGGGTAGGAGAAGATGCCCAGTTAACTCTATGGCTACCTTCTGCGAGCATACTGGCTGAGCCGACATCGAAATCGTCATGGTGAAATGCAGGGTCGCTAGAAGTAGACATGAGCCTCGCCGATTGCTGCACCATCGTGTTGCAGATGATTGAGCCTTGTCCTGGATCACGCCACACTCTTAATTCCAGTCATGTGTTGACGGGGGTAGAAACTGACACTTGGGAGCTCCGGCTGCGACTGCCAGATGGTGGTTGCCATTCCCATATCTTACAGGGGTAGCCATTTCTTAAACCCGTGCCTATCACAGCAGCAACATCAATAAGCAAAGGTCCAGTCAGATTCACTTCATCACAGCAAAGCGAAAGAAAACAGCGCTATATTCCCAGCTCGCTCTAGCTGGTCCTGGAGTTTCAAGGAGGAGATACATTGATGATTACGGAATAATGCACTCATCATGCGTTTCGGGGTTTGTAAAAAGGACAAAAGCGATTCACAATGAAGTTTTCCAAAAATTAGTGGAGCTGGTAGAATCGTTAATACAGGAGTGGGAATTTCAAAGGTTGGGCTGAGTGCTCGAACACACGTTGGATCTTTCGCAGGTGCAGCCGTCCGAAAAACCATTTTTACGGCAGGAATAGAATTGGATAACATAGCCAGCACACACACTACACAGGAACAATAGGAAAACAGTCGTCCAGTCAAGTGATAACACAAGCAACAATTGCAAATTTGGAAGGATATGCAGCCTAGTGTAGACAATGACGAACCAGATATAAGACTGAATTGTACAAAACGCAAAGGAAAATTCTAGGGGAAGGAGACAGTCGATACTCTCAACACTCACACAAGTACTAAGTAGATCAAGTTCGAAATTCAGTCCGAAGACAGGTGAAGCAGATGTACAAGCATGACGCAATGCGATGAAAACATGAGCAATGCAGCACACTCGTACTTTGAGTGTGCTGCGCCTTCAACCCACTATCACCATCAACAGAGAAGAAAAGAATCCACAGAGCCCACCTTTCTGGTCGGATCTCCCAGGCAACAACTGCCGCGCTTGATAAGCGTCGAGCTTGGATGCTCAGGTTTGGCATTGGGAGACTCAGAGAGACCTCTTTGAGCAAAACATTGTTCACTGGCAGCAGCGTGTTGGGTGGTAAGGCAGCTGCTGTTGATACGAGCTCCACTCTTTCGTTAAGAACTGGCCGTTCAGTATCAAGTGGCTGCCGACTCGCATTGCAAAACTCGGCCCTATATGCTGAGGCTCCGCCATAGATGATTGACGCCTTGTGTCCAATCTTCCACGATAACACCTATTAGCTCTCATATACCATCGCAATTATGCTGTGGCTAAGGTTGGGCTAAAAGTAAGCAACACTCTCGAAAACCATTGGAGAGTGGAATGAAGTACAAAGTGAAAGTTTGGGGCGATAGGAAATCGGAGCACTTTGCATTTATGCTAAAAACCGGAACGAATCATGGCGTCGCTTTTTCACTGTGGCACCAGATCTCTGGTGACTGGCAGGGAAAGTTCTAACGTCTGACACAAAATCAGAACTTCTGACAGAAATGGAACGAACTCCGGAGCTGCGGATGCGGCTTTGCTCCGATTGCTGCGCTAACCATGCCTATCTCCCGCTTTGGGATGCCTCCCTCCTCGTTGGCTTTGAACGGCGATCTGGCCTCCAACAGTTTCAGTCGTGACTGACCTGGTGAGCGTATCTGACGCTCCAACCTCCACAACTGACTTGGATTCATTCTTACCTCTCGTCTCACGCCATCTGTTCCATCTTTCCTTGATCCCGTTTGTTGGACTCGTGCTGCACCTCAGGACAGGAGGCTGCTTCCATTTCACTCAACCACCAGTCAAGGTAATACATGGGATTCATGACCTTCATGAATTCTGCCATGCATGGCGACAAAACCGACCTTTCTAACACGAGATCAGCATTTCCATGAGAACGAATACTGCAGCGACATCACAACATCGCAGCTATCGAAAGCGGATCCTGACAACGGGCTCCTTTTTTGCCTTTGCGCAGAATCCTTTTTTTCCCCATCCGCAAATCATCTTCTTCGTCTTCTACTTCTTCACCTTACCGCAACCACATGATTCACACGCTTCGTGGCAGAACTGCATGCTTCGATCCAGCGACAGAATTTCTTCTTCTCAGACTGAAGAATTGAGGCCGACTGGTGACGAATTTATAACTCACGAACTCATGATTCCGCCTGCGCCATCGTCGCCGATGAGGGCGGCAATATCCGGAACCTAGCAGGCAACCAGCTGCTCTCGCCGAATATACACGGTCACCAGGTGGGCTTCTCACGGTCACCAGGTGGACTTGTCACGGTCACGGCCATGGGAGCTCGTTCATGTGGTGACGTGGCCACTTTCCGCCACGTGGTACTGTGAGCTGGCACATCCATGGGAAGAAAGTACACGTGGTCAAATCTTTCGTGCTAACGTGGAATGCATGCATCTGGGAGCAATGGGAGGGTGACTCTTCTTTCGAAAAGGCAAATGGAATTATAGCAAAGCAGATTTGTTTTACATATTTTTTTAATATTTTTTTAAACATACGGAAAGGGTTGCTTCCATTATGCAAGTCTTGTGCACAGTGAGGGGGCTCTACAACCAAAGGGCCCAAAATTGTTATCCTTTCATCCTTTCTTGTAATGGCTACATTTGCTAACAAATTTAGTAGAAGAAAAGGTATGATGTCTATAATATCTATTACAAGTTGCAATCTTTTTAATGATAGAAAATAATTATAAATATAAGTTTTTTTTTGTTGAAGAAATTATTTCATTATAAGTTATTTTAACAACAAGAATACAACCAGAATCTTGTTATTACAAGAAGCTAATTAGTAAGTACTAGAATCTAATAGAAGCCTCTTTGAGTAGAAGAAGGAAATGAATGAGGTCTTAAGTAGGAAGACTTTAATATCTTTGCATCACTCCTTATAAACACAAAAAAAATTAGTTATATTTTTAAAAAATAGCAACCATTTTTGACAAGTGGTGGTTGGTTCAAAAAAGATTCAAATTATCTTTAATACAAATTTTATAATTATAACTCTTTTAAAAAATATTGAGGTGTTATAATTTTGCAAATCCACTGGTCAAAAACACAACTGTGTAGATTCTACATAATCTAATTCTTGTTATCATTTTTGAACTTAAATACATCCTATTATTTTAGTTGAGATACATCTTAAAAAGATATTTTTTGTGAAATCAATATTAAAGTAGAATTTTTTTTTTTGGTTTAAAAATATGAATATTTGGATTTTAAAATAGCAAGAATCGTATAATTTTAAATAGAATTACTAGTTATATATTAATTAATCTTTTGAAATTAACTTATATATATTTAAAAAATTATTGACTAATATTTTAAAATTCTTAAACTATACTTTCTTAAAGTTATGTATAGTGTTAGTTTAAGTAATATTTGGTGTTTGTAAACATTAAAATCAATCAAAATATTTATTTTTTTAATTTTTAATTTTATATCTAAAAATTTTAAAAATATTGACAAGTAAATGGTACTTCAAAAAAATAAAAACCATGAATAAAGTGTTTATACAATAAAAAAAATATATAAAAAAATAATTTAACAATGTTTTTTTCTTTACTTTGTATTAATTTAGTACAAATATGTAATACTTATATTTTGAAATTTACAAAATATTATAATTTTTAAAAATTAAATAGGTTATAAAAGAATCAATAGTCTAAAATCAAATATTAATTTGTTGATCTCTTGTTGTTTTCAATAATATATTCAATAATATAATAAAAGTTAGTAAAAAGAATGATTGTTTCTATACAAATAATATATCATTTTAATCATGTATCATGTATAAAAATCTAGTAAGGAAACATTATTAAATATTAAAATGATCACACATGTTTTTTAGAATGTCATATTTATAAAATAAAAAAAATAAAATTCTATCTTATTTTTTGTAATACTTTTGAAATAATTTAATATACATATTTTTTACTTGTCGAATGTTGATTGTTTGTATAAATGGTTCTAGGAAAAATTTCAAAACTACCCCTGAAATTTCCTTTAATATCAAGAATACCTGTATTCTTGATAATCACACACATATCCCTCAATTTTGTTATAATATCAAATCTACCCCTATGCCTAATAAGTTATCAAAAAATCTCCTATTTTCAGTTAAAATGGAGCCCAAACCACAAGTCATGCAACCCTTTCTATCTCTTTACGGCAGTTTTTGCAAATGTCTCTTGAGAATTATGGCATTCCCTGCCACAGTCCTTGCTACCACCACCACCATGCTTGCACCCTCACCATGACCTTCACCACGAGCTCTATCCAATACCATGAGCCGTGTCCAAAGTATTGCAAGCCTTGTCCAGAGTCCCACAAGTCCTGTCTAGAATACCGCAAGCTCTATCCAGAGTTTTGCAAGCCCTGCCTAGAGTACCACGAGCCTTCTATTGCGAGCCTTTGCCAGAGCCCTATGATTTGAAAATAAACATTAATTCATGTAATATCAGATTTTGAAACCTGAGTTGGAAACCACATGTATTAAAGAATGCATACTCAATCGAGCACTTGCCAAACATTTGCCAAGTACCTAACTGCAAAATCTAGTCTTGTTGATTGTTTGTTATAAAGCCATATTTATAAAAGTTCTTCAAATTCCAAATTAAAAGAAATTGTGAATGCACAAAGTAATTTAGGTGTAATTTGAATATAGTATTATTAGAATGAATTTCAATAATGTAAAATAATTTCATTTTAAACTTTTATTAATATTTGCAATATCACATATATAAAGAAAATTATCTAAAATTTATATACGTCATGTAGAACTTTGTATGATGTAAATAAATTTGTTGTAAACATATAAGTCATATTGTCAAAATTGTAAGTTGTTTTCAATTTTAGACACCAAAGGTTCTATTAAGGAATAATTGAAAGAAAATTTAAGAATAAAAAATTAAAATTAAAATTTTGTGTTTATATATATATATATATATATTTAATTTTTTATTTTTAAATTAATAAATTGGTTTCAAAATCTTAAAAATAATATTCAAAGTACATCAAATTATAAGATTTTTAATTATATGACTTGTTTTGATACATGTATTTATATAATTATTATGTAAATTCTTTATATTATTTTTATTTTGTGAATTCTAAATTTTCATTTATTTATTTATTATTTCATTTATTTCCTTATTAAAAACATTTCTAAAATAAATTGATTATAGGAAAAAAATTGATTGAATAGGAATGATAATATGAAAATAAAAGAAATTATAAAATCCTTGTTGTGGAGAAAAATAGTCCTATAAAGGCAAAACATTACATTGAATAAAAAAAATTCTTTGTTAGTTGAGCAATTATGTTGAATATTCTTGCATTGATTGCATCTAAACATTCTTTTGAGTATTTTTATATCTTCAATATGGATGCAATACTTTTTTGGATAGTCAAGTAGATGTCATATCAAAGGTGGTAGAATTGAAGTAACATCAATTTTGTTGTTGCTTGATTTTGTCTAACATTCAATAGGTGGTATTGGGATGATGGATACTACATAAATTCCTTGCTAGGCTTAAATAATATGGAAATAAGCAATAGTTGACAATTGACTGTTGCATGAAGAGTAGAAGACTAATTGTATAGACACATGGAATTCCAAATAATTACTATTTGTTGCAAGTGCATGTACGATTACATAAATCTAAGACATTTGATGATTGCTATGATTATAGTATTAGATAACTAAATGATGGAATAGACATGTACAAATATTTACGGCAGTTTGATTTTTTGCTTTGCACTAATTGACAATGGTTTCATAATTGTGTTGGCAATAATATATTACTCACTATACCATGCCATAAGTTGTTGCCAAATTTTTTCTAGCATTAAAATTAATAGCATCTCACATGCTTCTAAGATCTAAGAATTCAAAGATTCTACAATATTTGAAGTTATATGGCAAAACCGATTTTCTTCAAACTGTGACAATGTCCAATATTATGGTCTAGTGTTCATTAAGTACTCTATAGCTTTAAGAATTTGATATTGAAATTAGAAAAAACTAATGCTTGTATTGCTGCTCAGAGATATCATACAAGCATAGGATTTTTGAATTTTTGTTGTAAATTCTCTACTAAATGGCACATACAAAATGCTTACTTGCATGTTAAAAATATATGGTAGGCAACATCAATTAGACGTTTTTGACAGTTAAACAAAAATATGAACTTCAAAAGTCTAGAGTTCCATGGATGAGATGTAAGAATTGTTGTTTTTTGCTTCAACAAGAACCACAATTAGTTGTTATCATTTTCAGCATTTATAATGCCAAATGCAATAGGAAATAGTTATCTCTCTGCATCAATTATTGTTATATCAAAGAATATTTT